ATATATAATTTCTTTACACTGTATACCTCTGAGGTAAGTTTTACTATTGCCCCCATTTTAGAGATAAAGGCACTGAGTCACTAGGAGGATTCGTTTCTTTGGGAGGATGCAGCGACTATGTGGTGGGTCTAGGATTTGAACCCAGGAAGTATGATTCTAGAGCTTGTGCTGAGAACCATCACAACACCTACCGTCTCACTCTCCTGAGGTTCCCCCTCAAAAGAACAATGATCCATGTTCTTCACTATCTTCTATAAATATTAACATGTATCTATGACGCTGTATTTCATGTATTCATCCACCACAGTCCACTGGAGGAGTAAAGATGTGTCTTGATTACTTATGTGGCTTTAGTCCGCAATGAAGTGTCTCACATATGCTAGGTGCCCAGTAGATGTTAACAATAGAACCAAAGAGAAAAAGGAATAGTTGAACTCATAGGAAATAGATCTAGAAAGAAAATTATGTCAATGTCTAAGAAAAATGAGTATCTTTCCTTCCTCTCTGATCAAAGGTATCCAAGTATGAATTCCCTGATCTGGGAAAAGATGAAGGTGCGGACATTTAAATGTCTGTTTCCTGTCTTGATGCTCCATTGCTAAAATCCAGGAATAACTTTTAAAATATATATGGAAGCCCAACCAGTGTGGTTTAGTAGTTGAGCATCAACCTATGAACCAGGAAATCACGATTCAATTCCCAGTCAGGGCACATGCCCAGGTTGCAGGCTCGATCCTCAGAAGGGGGCGTGCAGGAGGCAGCTATATAAAATTATATATGGAAGAATAAAGTTGTCAATCTGAATATTTGTTTGCCGTATTATAGCCTACCTGACTACTAGTATATACTTTTATCCCCGGATCTTCATTATACAGGGTGGGCCAAAAGTAGGTTTACAGTTATAAGTACGTAAAAACACAGAATTTATTCTTGTATCATTATTATTTATCAAACATTTTATTATTTTTCATATGAACAACTATAAGCCTACTTTTGCCCCTGTATATTTTCAGTGACATGCCACAGCCACTCATCACTACTAAACTTCTCCACTCAGAATTCATCTACATAAAGCTGTACTTGGGTTTAACGGGAATTTAATGAAAATGTGTAGGTTCATTTATTTCATATGAAATCATATGATGACTGTACTTTTCTAGTTCAGTGTCATCCATAAACATCTTAAAGCTTGCTCATGCATTCTGAATAGGAGAACTATATCCTGCTTTCACACTTATCATGCTTGTTTAGGGCGCAACGGCTCTGCTTTTGATTCTTCCCAAGTTAGCCTGCAAAATATTGGAGCATCCTCATCAATAATATCATCTCATGCCCCATCCATCCATAATTATTCCTTCCCCGGGGCCGTGGGTTTTAATGCAAAAGATGGCTTGATGGTTAATATTAATGTTAAGAAATTCAAAATATTTCCAGAAGGGCATCCTCTCAGCACTGTTTCCTATCTGGACCGCTCACTCTGGGCTTGGCGTGGGGTCTAACCTTGGAGCTGTGTCCTGACATTACAATTATTGCACTAGAAGCTGAAAGCTCACATTTTTATCCTGAAAAGCCCTCGGGTGACAATCAGGCTTAAATTCTGTGATTTTAGTGCATGCGATCATCTGATAATTCTGCAAGCACGTCTTGAATACCAATAATACGCCAAGTCTTGTGTTCAGTTCCAGGGATACAAAGATGGTCAGGAGGTCACGTCCCTTTTGGGGGAGAGAAAGAATCATGCTACTTAGAATAAAATAATGATAACTGCAGCCCAGCCTGCGTGGCTTAGTGGTTGAGCATTGACCTATGAACCAGGAGGTCGCGGTTTGGTTCCCCATCAGGGCACCTGCCCGGATTGCAGGCTTGATCCCCAGTATGGAGTGTTAAGGAGACAGCCAATCAATGATTCCCTCTCATCACTTATGTTTCTGTATCTCTCTACCTCTCCCTTTTTCTCTGAAATCAATATATATATTGATTAAAGTTTTCATTATTTCAACTTTCTTTTTTCATTTTACGTGAGACATTACTAATCTATATATCTTTCCATTCCTAATTGACACGATAAAATACACAAAAAAAGCATGCTTCATTAAATGATGTATTTCTTGTGACAGGGCTACTCAAGCTGTGTTATGATTAACCAAAGAACTTGTATGCATATATGTATAACCCATGGATACAGACAGTGCAGAGAAGGCCTGGTTTGGGGTGGGAGAGGGGGGAAGGGGACAGTTGTAATACTTTCAAAAATAAAATAAATTTTAAAAAAAGAATAACATCAGGAATTTCGATGAGGGTGACATTTAGGGTTTGGTTTGGTTTTGTTCTCTTGCCTTTCAATACCTAGAGACCACTTTTCTTAACTAGACAAAATTGTAGCCAGAAAACTCTTAATGGTCCGTGGAGAAAAGAATGATATAGTACCAGCTCTTACTGTAGTTGCTATTTTAAATCTGGACACTATTTTACCAGGACCAAGAAAGGGCTTATGGTTTATTGTTATGGAATAAAAGGTTCACTCAGTCCTCAATACACACCCGAAGCCTGAAGCAAGTGTCTCCAAAGGTTTGTATATGCATTTTAATGTAATGAAATTATATTTCTCGTTTGAAAATGCATGTGTATATGTGCAATTATGTGTATTTTCCCTCTCTGATTTTAGCTAATTTAAACAGGCATCACCTGGGCAAATACTCCATGTTAATATAATATTTACTTTTACTATTCACATTTCTTTTCCTTACGGTAAACAGTCCTCTTTGCTCCTGGTTCTGCATAATCCAAATTTAACGAAGCATTGTTTTTAAGCAGTCTTTTGTAATCACCGCTGTGGATTACAGAATGATTCATTACCACCTTTTGGTGTAGTTACTATCCCTTGTGTACAATAGTCCTGCTTTTGGACGGTTTCATTTTCCAAGGTTTTAGCTACCTGCAGTCAAGCATGGTCCCGAAATATTAAATGGAAAATTCCAGAAATAAACAACTTTAAGTTCTAAATGGCCCAGTTCTGTGTAGTGTAATGAAGTCCTATGCTCACATCCCCAGGGGTCAGAAGTGGAGCAAAGGAAAGCCCAGTGGTCATTTCTGCAGGTAAATGGTAACCTGCTCTGCTCCGGAAAGCCTGTGGTGGTGTTAGCGCAATATTACTAAATATCGATATTAACACCCTGTGGGCGGATCACGAGAATTCTCGCTCCACCGTACACAGTGTTTTACAAAGTATCACACTTTAAAAAGATATTAGCTTGTAAGAGCACGTCATCCATAACTCCAAAATGCAATGGGTGTTTCATTTTAAAGCGCGCCTTTAGCATTTATGTAAAACGTTTTTGGGTTTTTTTGTGTTTTTTTTTTGTTTGTTTGTTTTCGTTCAATAGGAACTTATCTGGCCACTGGGTAAAGCTAGCAATAAAACTACTGGTCTGCAATGTGTTAATAAAGGAAGAAAAAAATATATGTGGTGAATAGGATCAATGGTAAGGACAAATATTCTATCTGTGAAATTGCCCACTTTATAAGTTACACTTTATCATAGGGATGCAGGTATAAGAAAAAGCATAGTACCTGTAGGGTTTGCTGCTATTTGTTGTTTTAGGCCCCCATTGTGGTTTCTTAGAACAAATCCCTTGCAAAAAAAAGGGAGCTACTCTGTGTATGTTATGGAACAGATTCATAGAGAGTTTTGTAGATGTTAAAATGACCTATGAGTATACTTATTGCATTTTGGCTTTTGGCTTAGTTAGTCGTGTAATTGACATACGTTTTGAATTCATTCATTCATTAATTGATTCCCTTCTCATTAAAAAATAAAGCATTTTTTTAGATATTTTCATTAGCGGACTTATTGGAAATCCTTGCTGGCAAGCTCAGCGCAATAGATTTTTTCCCAAGCATCTCTGATTCACAAGGATGAACAGCCAGGTCCGGGTGAGACAGTTGGGAATGAAAACACCCAGCTCAGAAATGGTTGTTGTAGTACATGGTTAAGAGCAGGAGTTCTGGACTCAGATTGGCCGGTCTGATCTCAGGCAGCTGGGTATGTAACCATAGCCCCACTGCAGACATGGGAAACAAGGGCTTAAGGGCTTTATATGAGTTTATACATAGAAGGTATATTGTGCAGTACCTGATAATAGGTAGTCATGCCTGCAGAAGGCATTGCATTGATGTTCCTCTCCCTCTCGCTCTCCCTCTCCCCTCTCCCTTCCTCTCTTTTTTAGAATTAATGAAAAACATATCAGGTGAGGATTCTTTTAAATACTTTAAAAAATGAACTATGAAATGTATGTAATTCAACAAACTGTTCTGCTTCTTCACACATATCACTTTTCTAAATCTCTCAGGTGCCATCTTGGTACCAAATATGTTGGTCTCTTAGAGTTTAGGCAGAGAAAGGATATTTTGACAACATGGCTTATACAATAATACCTGTACCTTGTACACCTTCAAAAATGTCCTCCCGTCAATCGCTTTCATAGGGTCTGTAAGATATACTGCTATTCCCACTTGTTTGTTTGAAAGGACGCTAACCTCTTCTATTGATGGTTATTAGGTTCATTAATATAGGGCCCACTGTTGGAACCAGAGATTGAGGCCACTTAGTGGCTGGGTCTCAGCCTTTGTCTCCAATGGACTCGGAGGAGAGGTAGCAGGAAGAGATAGAAGGGAGGTGGAGCGCGGGCACACAATACATGCAATTACCCAGGGCAGTCAAGAGTCGTAGTGAGCACCAGCTTTCTTATCAGTTTCAGAGCTGACCAGGTTCCTTGATGAAAGAGGTAGAATTATAAATAGAACATTTGCAATATGCAATTACCATATACATATGGTGGGCATGCGTTTGCATATCTCAGAAGCAAGGTTCCCATATTTACATCAGCATGTTCAAGCTTACCACAGATGAAAATACATATTTTTTTGAAAATCAAATGAAAACATAACATGGAAACAATGACGGGACTCGATAAATGAGGAGTCGTCTGGGGCAAAGTTGTGAAAATGGAAAACCCTCAAAGCCGGTCCTTTAGCTAAATACAAGTTGCACAGGAGAATTCCTGTACATTCGCCATTATAGAATTTCCAGGATTTTAAATGCCTACAATTTGACCCTCAGCTTGCTGCTGTCCACTGTGAAGTTCAAAAGCTGATCAGTAGTACAAATGGTGTATCCATCCGCTAAAATAAACCAACTCATCTTGAGAAACTTGGTTGCTGCCTTAGTGTGGGGAGTGTTTCACCTTAGCGTCTTCTCTCTGCTGTACACTAGGCGGCGCTGTGAGCAGCCTCCTCGACTTAGCCGTGGAATATTGCAGCAAGATGTTCTATAGGGCTTTTAGTTCCTAACATTCCTTAATGTAGGTCACAGAAGTACAACTCTTGGGTGTCAAGATTCAGTGAAACTAACTCCACCAACTCTCCGGAAGGCAAGGACTCGATTTATAAATGACATTGCACGTGGAGCTCAGGTATTCCTGTACGGTTCAGTCCTAGGGATTGAGGGTATGCAGAACAATGAATTTCAAATATTTTAAAATAGCCTAACCCTCCTGTCAAACAGTGTCTTAGGTACAAACAGCTAACGTTGATAAATGTGAAGCTTCGGCAATGTGCTGCAGGCCATGCAGGTCCACGTGGCCCCATGGGCTCCATCTCCGGAGGCATTTCCCGAGGCATCATCACAAACCCTGCTCCTGGCGTAGACAGAGCTGTGCCATATATTTGTGTATAGGTAGTGCCTGGGACTGAACATGTGCCTGTGTGTGTTTCATAAGAACTAAATGCATGTAGAAATAAAATGATGTTCGTTGAATCAAGACCTCCATCTACTCTCCCTAGACTTAGACCTGCACCTTGCATACCGACTATTGTCAGTTAACAGACATCCTTCTAGTTAATGTACATCTCACACTGACTCCATGAGATAGTCTTATTTCTGTGGGGATGTAGAAACGGAAGCTAAGAGAAGTAGAGTTATTTGCCTAATGTCGCATGATGTTTAAATCTTAAAGCCGGTGTTGAGATGGAGAACTAAGTGACTTCGAAATCTGTGTCCCGTCTACTGTTCCATGATGTTGAATGGCATGGCAAGACTAACCAGGGGATCCCGCTGTCCACGGGCGATAGCTCATGCAGTGCCTTCTAACCTAATGCACCTGTTGTTTCTCCCTCTTTATCCTTGAAATTGTCACAGAAGGTATTAATGGCAGAGTTCAATGGCAGTAATTAGCCTTAGGAAATAAAAAGTACATAATACCTTAAATGAGACCTTTGGAGCCATCTTCCGGTCCCAAACCACAGCATTATCTCATCACCCCCTAGATGCCAATCTCCAGTGTGTGTCTCCATATAATAGCCATTACTATTAATGAGGCTTATGTAGGCTCACAAAAGAAATAATGAACCCCATTGAATCCAAATTATGAATCCTTGAATAGTTCCTCCTTGTGAATGAGTGCACTGCATCCCCCAGGTTTCTGTTGCACGGTCAACGATTGTTTAAATGCTGGGTCACTTGTGGGCATCTGCTCCATCTGTCAGGTGTCACGGAAACCTAGGGACATAGCAACGTCCTTCTACCACCTAACGGTGTTCATCTGTTTGGTAAATTCACGAGTTGACTCTGTAGGAGGGGTAACTCCCAAGGACACAGATCAGGGTGTGAATTTGGAAGGTGTTACAAAGACAGGAAGCAAAGCTGTCTATAAATAGATTGGGGGCATTGGAAAGGAAAGCAAGGGATTGGAAATGAATGGGCTGCTGTCAGGCATCCTTGAGTCCAATACCTGTTCGTCTGTTGTCTCGCGATGTCAGGAAACTGCCAACGGACCGGTTCTCAACAGGGTTCCTTCTGTTTCCTTTTCTCCAGACTTAGAGCATAGATTTTTTCCCCCACTTCCAAGGAGTCACCAACAAAAGGCATGAGAAAAATATAGCATAATTATTTATTTAAAATGGAGAAAAAGAATAATTATAAAGACATGTACACACACACACACACACACACAAACAGCTTTGGAGTCCAGGACCACAACTACATGGTTCTGCTTTTTACTAACTTATGTGTCTTGAACAAGTTACTTAACTACTGTGAGCCCCACATTCCCCAATGATAAAACGAGAATAAGGACCTGAAACCTATATGGTCATGTTGACCAATGTCACCCCCAATACATTTAATTTTACAAAATTTAAAGATGAGGATAAGGAAAATGGCCTTGGAGTGTGAGGATGAAGAAGTGCATTTAATTAACTAAACCAGCACATAGGTTCCCGGCTTTCTTTCTCCTCCATCTCTTTCTCTTTCTCGTTCAACTTTTCCCTCTAACTCTTGACCTGAACTCATACGAGTCATCATTAAAAGAATAATGTTAGAGTGTTTTTTCCCTTTGTTTACCCCCTTCCCCAACTAAAATGAGTACTTTGAAAGCCGTATCATTTATAGAGTCAACTCTTATTTACTATGAGTCTTGATTTTAACATTTCAGGACATACATTTCCTCTAAGGAACGGTATACTGTGCTTTGGCAGACAAATGACCCTAATTTAAATGCCCCTTGAAATTCATGTTACACGATGCTCAGAAATAAGTGTGATTCCTCTACATTCACACACGATGCAGGAATTATTTCCTAACACAAATGGAAAGAAGAAAAACAAAAGCAACCTAACATCACATTATTATCTTTCTCTACATCCATCTAAAAGCACATCTCTAACAAGTAGAAATAATTATTCTCCCCCAATGGTCACTTGGTTTGGTAAAAGGTGGCCTTGTGCTTTTGAGCTATTATTGCCTACAATAATGCATTATTCCTTTGGCTGGGATAAGGAAAACCAATGAGTATCCTGATTTCCATTAGCTGCTCGAAGTTCTATCCAAACAGCAACAAAATCTTTTTTTTTTTTTTTTGCATTTTGCCTCATTATTTAATCAGCCTGGCCATGTCTGATAGGCATTTGACCGTGTTGCCACCCCATGGTCTCACCCGTCTGAATTGGACAGTAGCACTTTTCAATCAGAATGAGCATGGCTCCTTGAATGGCCCCGGCAATTTCTCTCGCACTCATAATATAATTATGTGTGTACCTCAATGTGTGAGACTATAAACATATGCTATATATTTGAACAAGAGTGCTGTCAGCACTTTATTTTCGAAGTGTGTTCATTATGACTGAATAATAATGTGCATGCTAAGCAGAGCAGTAGCCCATACCGGGGTGATGTTTACATTACCCTGTGCCTCTCATGCTCAGAATGAATTTTCAAGTGAAGAACAATTAGCAATTCTATGGAAATTGTATATTCAGAGTGCCCTACAAATCAACCGCAGCAAGACAGCTAATAGCTCTTTATGTTCAATGCTTTCTTTGCCAAAACAGGCAAAGATGTCAAAAATAGAAGGTTGAATTTTAGTTGAAGTTATAGCAACTAAAATAACTACATGCTCAGATAAGAATATTTTTAAGTGTTGATAGGTCTTTATTTTTTTAAAAAAATAGAGACTAATGATCATTTATCCTGATTATATTGCTGTATCAATCACCAAGATCCTGTATATGTATGAGTGCAATTTTTGACTATGATTCTCTTTAACCTTCGCATGAGCACACAATGATGGTGCCTGGGGCAGATTAGTATTTTCAGCAACTTTCAGTAGCGAGAGTAGAAGTTAGGGGTGGGGAAGGGTCTTTGTCATCGAATATCCCAGGCACCTTGGATCTGGATAAGCAGGTAACTGTGGCTTGATATTTAACTCTATAAGAACAGCCTTCCTGCTTGTGTGGAAATCTGCTCTGTCCCTTATAAGAGCATGGGATGAGAAGCCGTGTGCTGGGCACACAGTGGGAACACTCTAAATATTTGTTGACTAGATTGCACAATGATCTATGTAGACAAACATGAATGACTGCAATTCTACATAAAATTTTTTTAAAGAGAATAGTCTTCTTTTTTAAAAAAAATAACCAAACTTTTATTGATTTTCAGAGAGGAAGGGAGACGGGGAGAGAGACAGAAACATCAATGATGAGAGAGAATCATTGATCAGCTGTCTCCTGCACACCCCACTCTGGGGATCGAGCCTGCAACCTGGGCTTGTGCCCTGGCTGGGAATTGAACCGTGACCTCCTGGTTCATAGATTGACGCTCAACCACTGAGCCATGCCATCCGGACTCTACATAAATTAAATGCCTTAGAATTAGAATATGAATGCTTGAAAGTCCCTATAAAAATCTTTGGAGCCTCAAATTGATTATTCCTAACAGAAACAATTGGTACCATTTGCCATTATCAAATAAAACATTTCCATGAAGAATAATTTAGCATTTAAAAATTCCCAGCAATATATTGTTTTGCGATTTAAGTGAATGATTCTCAAAACATGGTGGCTGAGCCAAAAATATGAGCATCACCTGGCGGCTTTTTGACATGCAGTTGTTTGGAATCCACCCCCGAATTGCTACGTGGGCCCGGAAGTCTGTGCTTTTACACATGATTCTGTTGATTATTAAGTTTACACTGCGCTGAGCACACATGTGGATGTTTTCCCTCTAGTCATCTTGCACAATTTCCAGGGCTTTCTAATAACCTGAGATAATATTTACCTGCTATTTGAGGTGAATGCCCAGCATCTCAGAAGAATGGCTTTCATGTGCAAATTATTAAGTTGGCTTCAAAGAAGGACCTTTGGGGCCCCTGGAATATGCGAGCTTTGTGCTCCTGTTTGACAGACAGCATTGCGTTTGATATTTACAAAGTTTCAGAGGAAGAGTTCATTTCCCCCTTTGTAAAAATGGCCTCAAATAGAAGCCAGATGCATTTGACTTGATCCCGTTTATACATAGAAACGTCCGAACCTGGGTTTTGTGATGTGAACCCTATAATATTTTTCCAGATCAGCAGCTAAAGTTACAGGATTGACATTACGGTCGTTTTTAAAAAATAAACTTTATGATGGTATAAATTGTATTAAATGTAGATAAGTGGTTCTCAAATTTTTTCATCACAG